CCTTCTTTCCCCTGAAGAGTTTTGTTAGGAAAAACAAAGAAATGAAAGAATAGTTTCAGACATTACAATAGAACAATGTTCTGTCTCAGGATATGTCTATCTAAATTTTCATAACTCAACCAAGCAAAGGAAATAAAATGTGACTGAATTTACCTCGTCATCGTCTTCATCAAAATCCTCTTCATCAGCCTCCTACAAAATTACAAAAACAATTTACCAAAATATTTAAGCAGCTTATGTGCTCTAAACTAAGTTATGAAATGGTGAATAGTTTACATTGTTAAAGTAGGTGAGAGGGTTGGGCCATAAATCTTCCTTGATTATATCTGCGACCTGCTACAAGACGAATTTATGAGTTCAAATTGGGCCAGACATGATGTTACTCTTGCAAACAAGTCATAATAATATAGAATCATTACCTCGTCTTGAATCTCTTCCTCAACGTCCTCCTTGTGTTGAGCATCGCTGAACCAGGTAAAGAAACTGAAAACGACATTCAAGATATAGGTCATTCGACATGCAATTGATAAGTATAAAGGTTTTAAGTGCCAAAAAAAAATGTAACTTGGATATTGCAAATTGCAAAATCACTGAAATGAATTATACCTCTCTTCAGGTAATGCACGTTTGTTTCCTTTCTTGTCGTGATTCACTCCATTTGGCAAACCCTTCATAATAGAGAAACATAGTTAAGACTAATCCCAAAGAGTGAAAATGAAAGTAATAAACATAAATCATGCAATATATATATATAATTACTTTGCCCTCTTTCCATTTGATAGGCGTGGCTGTGATTTTCGTTGTCCCTTCCTCGAGGAAGGTAAAAGTCTTCGTAAGTTTTCCATCCTCAAAAAAGGGGTTGGGATTGAAGTGCTGCAGTTCACAATTTAACAACAACCAGTAAGCTAAGAAACTAAAAAACCAATCAGGGATATGAAAACAATAACAAGGAGCTGGATTTAAAACAAACTTACAAAAGTGATCGAGTATCCAGATTTCACATCTTTGGCATCCTCAACATCAAGAGAGCTAAGATATTTGAAAATCTGTCAAAACAGAAAACCGAATCAAGATAAGTTTATGATTTAAAGGAAGGACAAGGGTGAAAATGCGAATCAGTCAGACCAAATCTCAAGTATGAAAACACAAACCTTTTGGTCTTCTTCTGTCAACAACTCCCCAAGAGCAGGGTGACTCAAGAACTGCAAATTCCGATTTCAATTAGAGAAAATATACTTCTAAGCTCTGAATTGAAAACAGAATAGAGTAATCTGACTTACAGCAGTAAGCCAAAAGTCAGGGATTGATTTGATAATCTCGTTGCGCTTGTCGTAAACAGGTTTCCTTATCTCGTTATATTTCTGCTCCACTTCCAAGACTTCATCGCTAGCCTTTTCGTTTATCTAGATTGAGAGATGAGAAAAACAAAGTACACAGAATTTAATCTCTCAAACAGCTTTCTTGACTTCTATACAGAACTCAGTGGAGACAATTTTGCAAGAGCAATCATATACAGTAATTGATGTGAAAGACACAACAACATAAGTACAGAATCTTAACATTGAAACAAACAAAAGTAAAGATACTGAATTTTCTTCTGCATAATTCTAAAGAACAAGAAAACAGAGCCATAATCATACATAATTCGGCAGGATCCAAGCCAGACAATTCTCAGTACCAAAGCAATGAATAAACATCGACAATTGATAAATTCAGGAGATTTCGAACTAATAAAGAAAATGGTTTGTTTTGATTTACCTTCTCGAGATCGTCTTGGATCTCTTGAAGCTTTTCGATAGAGAGAACGAGCTCCTGATCGATTTGCTCGACGTTTTCCTCTTCGGTTTTGGCCTTCTTGCTCTTGTCCGCCACCATTTTTCGATTCTCCCGCAACCCTTTTGAAGAAACCCTAATTGCAATCGCAGAGGATTCGAATCCTCCTTCCTCTCTCGGCTACGTTCCGAAGAGTAATCGCTAAAACCCTAAATCGATGGTATATGTTGGTGAAAGCGTGAATGTGGGCAAAAAAGCTTTAGGGTTTTGGGGGTTTTGTTGACCAATAAGATTACGCCAGATAACCCAATAAGGGTGTTTATGCCAATTCGATATAAAATCCAGGGTAGTTAAGAGATTTCAGTCCCTTTATTTTATAATATC